TCTCGTTCCCCAGCTCCCTCAGCCCGTTGGCCGCCTTACTTTGAGAACACCGCGGCAGCGGCCGACAGTAAACGGAAGTGACGCAATGCGACATCGCCTACTCCACCTCCTCCCTTCGGGCCGAACTGCAACCAATCAGCAAGAGAGGGGCGGGGACGGGACAGGAGAGCAGCCAACCAGCGCGCGGAATCCGGAAGAATTTCCTAGGCTCCGGGACATTGGCCAATCCCTGGTCCCAGGAGTCTCGCTATGTTTACTACCGACCGAATCCGTGAGGCTGTGGCCAATCACCGTTTTCCTTATAACACGTAACACTGGTATCAAACGCCTTTAAGGCGGGATTCACCACTAAGCGGCTTTAGGTTTGGCTATAGAAAAGCTAATGTGTGTCACAACCAATCAAGACCCATTGTGGTTGAGGCGAGAGGGCGTTCTGTCTCGTTCCACCAATCACAATAGCGACTGCCCAAGGTTTGTTCCACCTTTCGCGGGGCCTGAAGGATTTTTCCACTCCCCCAGCGCCGGGTCTTCCGAGACCAGCCGGCTCCCTGTTGGAAGAGTGCGCTTCGCCGGAGCCACACACACAGCGGTCAGAAGTTGATCTCTCACGTCGCAGACTTTGGAAAAAATAAAATTCCAAGGTGTTTAGGTTGAATTAGCCGAAATCCAGGCTGCAAACGTTGAACCAACGTTATCGCAGTTGGGCCCGACAGCCCCCCAAGTCCAGTGCGAGGGGGAGAGACGGGGGTGGCTTCTCGCAGCTCTGGCGCCGGAGGACTGACGGGGCTGGGCTTCCTACTCACACATGCTTCACATTTCGAGCCGTAGGTCACAGAAGCCTACAATCTCCAAAACCAACTTCCTCCAAAAAAACAAAATTAGACACGTGGAATGGTAGCAAGCTCCCGAGATCCCAGGTGCACCCTCGGAGTGAGGGTCCGAGCCCTGAAGGGAGACTGGCCAGGGAGCTCCTGTCCGGGAGCTCGGCTTGGATCCAAAGACAAGGGCAGGCTGGGGAACACCTCGGGTTTCTAGAGGAAGGGAAGGTGTACACTTTTAAATATCTCACTGCCTCAGAACTTAACACTAAAATATTATTAGAGCTGATGCGTCTGTACAGACGTTATAGGTTGGAAGTATTGCCATTTGGGGTTTCTTTCTTTAAAGCGTCAATGAAGTCTGATCGTCAATTCTGTTCTCTAAGATTCCCTGACATTGTATAGCCCTTACAGATATTTTATTGCCACATTGGGCAGTAGAAGAAAAAGATAAAGGAATGCTGACAATAAGCCGGGTGGTGTGAGAGGTCTTTTCACATGTGACCCTTACAAAAATGCTGTGAGCTAGACATAATCCCAAATTTACAACCTAGCAAAGATTTGTATATTCAGTACTTAGGAGTACTATAGGCCCTCTCCTATATTGTTGATCGAAGTACCAATGACACTGCCTTTGAAGATAACTTGATAATATCTATCAAAATTTTAAATATGAATTCATTCCCTCCTAACTGGAATAACTTTCTAGAAATGTATTCTGAAATGCACAAATTAACCTAGGTGAAATACACAAATGTGGGAAAATATATAGGAGGTTGTTGATCACAGCTTTGTTAATAGAAGGAAAAAAAAGAAAAAGCTGAATGTGCATCAACAGAGGATTACCAAAAAAATGATATACGCATTTTATGGCTCCTTCATTACTAATGACAAAGTAGGATTTATCCCTGGAATGCAAGGATAGTTCAATACATAAAAATTGATCGAGGCCGGTGGAGTGGTTCAGTGGTTGCAGGCTCAATCCCCAGTGGGGGTGTGCAGAAGACAGCTGATCAATGATTTTCTCTCATCATTGATATTTCTATCTCTCCCTCTCCCTCTCTGAAGTCAATAAAAACATTTTTTTAAAAATTGATCAATATACCACGTTAAAAGAATGAAGGGGGAAAAAACCATGATCATCTCAATTAATGCAGACAGTATTTGACAAAATTCAAAACCACACACTCAACAAACAAGGAATAGAAGGAATCTACCTCCACCTAAAAAAAAACTATATATGAAAATCCACAGCAAATATTATATTCAATAGAGAAAGTCTTGAAGCCTTTCCATTAAGATCAGAAACAAGAAAAGGATGCCCACTTTCAGCCCTGGCTTGTTTGGCTCAGTGGATAGAGCATTGGCCTGTGGACTGAAGGGTCTCAGGTTTGATCCCGGTCAAGGGCATATGCCCAGGTTGTGGGTCGATCCCTAGTAGGGGGTGTGCAAGAGGCAGCTGATCAAGGATTCTCAACATTGATGTTTCTATCTCTCCCTCTCCCTTCCTCTCTGAAATCAATAGGATTATAAATATTTTTTTTAAAAGGATGCCCATTTCCACAACTTCTATTTAACAGAATTTCTAGCTAGAGCAGTTGGTCAAGAAAGAGAATAAAAGGCATCCACATTGGAAAGAAAGAATATCTGTTTGCACATGATAGGATCTTATATTTAGAAAACCCTAAAGATTTTACAAAAATCTGTTAGAACTAATAAAATTCAGCGAGTACCAGGCTACAAAGTCAACAAACAGAAATCAGTTGCATTTCTATATGCTTAAAATGAACCATCTCAAAAGGAAATTGTGGCCCTAGCCGGTTTGCTCAGTGGATAGAGCATTGGCCTGCAGACCAAAGGATCCTAGGTTCGATTCCTGTCAAGGGCACGATATTTCCCTCACATTGATATTTCTCTCTGTCTTTCCCTCTCTCTTCCACTCTCTCTAAAAACTTTGAGCCTGGTAGGCCCCTCCCTGGGTCCATCCTTGAAGGGTTGATTTGGCCACAGATGTATGCATGCCTAGGCCTGAGGAATGACCATGACTGGGAGCTGTTTGCACCATTGTGGACGAAGCTTGGACTTACGGACGGATGTCCACAGGTGTGCGTGGAGGCCCTGGAGAGCAACTGCTGTCTGCCAGCTGCCACATTTAGTTGGGGCTCAAGGTGTGCCTGTCAGAGAATTCGAAATTTGAACTTGGCCTTTCAGGTTTTGGTAAGATATACTTGTCACCATAGGAGAGGTAGATCATACCCTATCTAGTCCATGCTGAGCAAGAAGAAACCTCATGACTATTGGGTAAAAGCTGCAAGACTTTAGGCGTGTCGGACCCTTGTCCCCCACAACTCTTAAAGGTGCAGGCGGATGTTGGGTCGATCAGGTGTAGCCCCTCGGAGAGGCAGGCCAAGGCTAGGGCGATGCACTAAGTGGACACCACGCCTCTTCGCGCTGAGGGGCGGGGCGAATGATGGGCGTGGCGGGAATGGCGCACCTCCCCGTTCAGAGCATAGTGCGGAGGGGGCGGGGCCTTTTGGGGGGCGGGCCCACGCGGCCGGCGACGTCCCGCCTCTTCCGGCCCACCGCGCTGCCTCCGCGTGTGACTGACGCGCTAGTGGCTTTAATTCCTGGGCTTGGCGACCGGAGAGGGGTCATGGCGGCGGAGGTGTTGCCGAGCGCGAAGTGGCTGTACTGTGGGGAGCCCGACGAAAGCCAGAGAGCTGTCCTGGGTAAAGACTGCGGAGCTGGAGCAGAGCCCCCCATGACTTCCCTTTCCGTCTCGGTACCTTCAGAGCCCTCCCGCCGGCTCCTTTCCCAGCAGGGCCAAGACTCTTCCCCCAAACCCCCATTCCCTACCCCCACCCCCTGCCCCCCATTCCCTGCCTTAGTGCCCACCGCTACTTTGGTCTCGGCCAGAGCTCCCCCGTCATCCCACCATCTTTGTTTCCACCTTATACCTGGATGAGGACATCCCAGTCAACGCCCTCCCCAAAGGATTTACCCAGGATTTTGCCATGCTCTCATTCACCAGGTCTTAGAACTGCTCCATTTCCTCATCTCCACTGGGCAGGGATACCCCCTGTTTCTCTAGGTCTGGATGAGGCCGCCTCAGTCGGCCCCCCTTCCCCTAGTTATTCCCTCACCTCCGCATCCCCTCTACCCCGTGGACCAGGGGCTCCTTCAGTCTCACTTCCGGTCGGGACCTTGCCATCCTCACCCTCCCATCACTGCTTCCCACTCACAGCCCAGTTCCTCCTCCCCATTCTGCAGCGTGATTCTTTCTGATCACATCTCATTCTTGGGCTGTGACCTTACAGTTCAGTTCTCCAATGGGAAGCTGCAGAATCCAGATAACATGCGCTTCAGCTTGTACAAGAACAAGGACGCCACCAATCCCAGGAAGAAGAGCCAGCGGATCCTGGTGAGTGCCGCAGTGGCCCATTGCCTCCACTCTGCAGGCCTCCGTGGGCCTCCTGGGTGTGGTGGATGTGGGAGTGAGTGAGAGGAGAAAGGGGGGAGATAGCAAAGGTGCCTTTAAAGAACTCTGCTGAGCCTCAGCAGGTTGGGGTGTGGGGCAGGCTCCATTCAGGTTCGTACTTTTGGTGAACTGATGGCCTTTCATTCATAAGTTCATTCAGCAGCATTTATTGAGCACCTTCTGTGGCCCTGTGCCCTAAGCTGCTAGGGAAACAGCTAAATCAGACCTGGCCCCACTCTGTGGGTTTCTCAACCCTGGCGATATTAACATGTTGACCCAAGTAATTCTTTGTTGTGGGGGCAGCCCTGTGCATCATAGGATGTTTAGTAACTTCCCTGGCCTCTACCCACTGTACATCAATAGCACCCCCTAGTTGTGACAACCAGAATGTCAGACATTCCCAGATGCCCCTGGAAGGGGGATTTCCTTGGGTTGAGAACCACTGCTCTAGAGAGTTCTTTGAGATTTTACCACGCATGGTATAGAGAACTCTAGAGAGGTGAGAACTGGATGCGAGGGGCACTCATGCCAGTAGACAAAGCTCAGGGCCCGAGGGAGGGAAGGTACAAGGCAGAGTCTCTGCTGGCCAGAATGTCTTCCTGGGGAGGGTACATGGAGCTGAGCTCTGAA